TTTGATCCTTTCTGCGTCATTCAATATTTCGCCAAAATAACCCACTCTTTCAGTATTGGAAGTTGAGCTTGAATTTTTTCCTCAGTTGTTTCTGTTTGAGAAATACTGAGCATGTTCTTCCCTTTAGGTTTTCTAACTCTAGATCTTTACACATTTCATTGTAATATTTGACTTAGTATTCTTTTTTTTTTTTTAAGCTTTTAATGTGAATTGAGTGATAGTTTACATGGGAGAACATTGATTTTTCACTCAACTTACCATATTTTGTTTCATTGCAATGATTGCATTCCTCTCCATGCATCATCAGTTAACAATATTTGCTTCTATTTCCTCTGCTTTTGTTTTGTTTTGTTTTTTGCTGTACACAAAAACACACAGGAATATATAATCATTTAAACAACCAAAGGACACATTCTGCAAGCTAGCCTCCTGGCTGCCAGCACACAGCCTTTCTCTTTCCATGAGTCTGGAGTCCTCAGGTGCTCTATCTCTCCATATCATCATCTCTGCCTCCCATCTCTGGTGTCCCTCCTTCTCTGGTTAAGGTCCCATGTTCTCTGCTCATGCTCTTCTCTTTTGGTGGTCCTCGGGTCCTCTGTTCTTGGAATGTAAGATTAACTACTCCCCCCTTTATGTTATAAAACGTCTACCTTTACAGTTGTGACAATCAAAGTTAGTCCTGATAACAGTTACTCATTATTAAATTAAAAGAATCTTATCCCCATCTCCTTTCACCAGACCCATCTAGACAAGGTGAAAGCTATTCAGTGGGGATTCTACCTTCCCTGCCTGCACACTCTGAAACTAAATTTCCTCCTTTTTTATTTATTTATTTTTTGTGTGTGTTTTATTGTGAATTATGTGATAGTTTACATGGGACAACATTAGTTTTACATTCATCCTGTCATATATCGTTTCATTGCCATGGTTACAATCCCCTCCATGCATCATTAACCAGCCAAAGGATATACCCTGCAAGCCTGCCCCAAGGTTGTCAGTACACAGCTCCTCTCCCTCTCTGGGTCTAAAGTCCCCAGCTGCTCCCTCTGTCCACGTCATCGTGTCTGCCTCCATCTCTGGCGTCTCTGTTTCTGTGGGTAGAGTCCTGATCTCTGATCTTCTCCCTTGATGGTCCCAGGGTCCTCCGCTCCTAGGCTGAAAAGTTAATCACTCCCCTCCTTTTCATTTTCAACCCTCACAAGCAGTCCTAATAACAATTATTCACTACTGTATCACAAGAGACTATCCGCATTTCCTTTCATCAGCCCCGCCTAGACAGATTGGATACTACTCAGTGGAGAGTCTATCTTCCTCCACGCCCTCTGGATCTAGGCTCCCTCTTGAAAGCTTGTAAGTCAGTCACTTCTTGCCTTTGTAGGTCCCCCACTTTGGGTAGCCAGTGTCCAAATTGCCCATCCCTGTCTAGTCTGTGTATGGAGGCGGTGGGAATGATCCTTGCTGTAAAGATTTGTTCCCTCTTTTGAACTACTGCATCCATAGGTGTAGGTCAAGTTCATCAAATTGTATCAGAGTACTTTTTTTTTCCTCTTCTTTATTCTTCTAGTTGAGCTCTGATCATCCAGTCATTGAAGCCAGGTCAAAGTATTATCTGCAAGTGTGGGTGTTCTTGTGCATATGCCCTGTCTTCTTATCAGCTGGACACTTCACTCTCCACTCTTGTCCTCTGTGGCTATGTCACTGACTCTGGGCCCAAGAGTCCCCAGGTCTCGCCACACTGCTGGCCAACCAGATCTCCACTTGGGTTCACAGGAGTCTTATTGAATGTTGTAAGACTTAGCTTACAGCTTCATTGCTGTTTTTCCCTCACTTCTCCTTGTTGGTGATGAACTTGGTCACCATTCAGAGAGTGTATTCCCTTTGAGTCTTAGTCTTGGACGGGGGTTTGCACTGAGGGGACGCAACCACTTGTCTTCATGTCTCCTGGGTAAGCAGCTTGTTTGTTCTTTTAGTAGTTAGTCGATCTACCTATATTGTTTTGTATTTTTCCTGTGGGTCTTTCTTTCAAGAAGTATCATCTGTTCTTTTAGCCACTCCAGGCTGGTCTGCTTGTCCTTTCAAGTGGAAATTTCCCACCTCTGAAGATTCTGGATGCTGTTTAGGATTCCACTTAAGATCTTGTGTAATGCAGAGGCTCCACAGGAAGCCTCCTTCACTGAACATGTTGTAGCCCCATTTTAGGTATTCCAATCAGTTATAGGCAGAAGATGGACTTACATGCTTTCTATGGTGATATTTCTGTCCATTCCTTTCTCTCCCCCTTAAATTTCTTCTTGAAAACTGTAAGCCAGCCACTTGGTGTCTTTATAGCTCCCACCACCATTTTAGATAGCCATTGTCAAAGTTGCCAGTCCCTGTCAACCCTGTATACTGAGGTGATAGACTTGATCTTTGATATGCAGATTCCTTCTCTCTCAGTTGGCATTTTGAGCTACTACATCCATAAGTATAGATCAAGTTCATTAAATTGTTGCAATTTACACTTGCTTCCTTTATCAAATTTCTTTATCTTCCTCTAGTTGAGTTCTGATCATTAAGCCGTAGAAGCTAGGTACTGTCCGCAAGTTTGGGCATTCTTGTGTGTTTCTCCCCTCTTCATGTCAGCTGGACACTTCACTCTCAACTCTAGTCCTCTGTGGCTAGGTCAGTGTCCCTGGGCTCAGGAGTTTCCAAGTCTCCCCAAACTTTGAACCAAGCAGCACTTCCTCATCTCTCATCTCAAGGTTGACAGGAGTCAATGGAATATGGTTGAACTCAGCCCATGTCTTCATTACTGCCTTTCCTCCACTTCCACTCACAAGTAGACCAACACCATTACCAACGAACTTACATGCCTGTTCATGTGTTCCCTTTGAGTTTCAATCTTAAAGGGCGGGGTGGGGGGGTTGTCCTGAGGGGACTTGATTGCTTGCTTTGATGGCTCCCCAGCAAACAACCTGCTTGTTCTTGTAATAGCCAAACAGACTGCCGTTTTTGTTTTTATCTTTTTCCTGCTGGTCTTTCTTTCAAGAAAGAATCTTCTGTTCCTGTAACCTCTCCGGGCTGGTCTGCATGTCCTTTCAAGTGGGAATGCCCCACCTCAGAAAGTTCTGGATGGGGCCCAGGATTCTACCTAAGGTCCTGTACACTTCAAAGGCTCTGTAAGAAGCCTATTTCACTGGACAAGTTCTAGAACCCCTTTTAGGTATTCCAGTCAGTTAGAGTCTAAAGACAGGCTTACAGGCTTTCTGTAATCATGTTTTCCGATAATTCCTTTCTATCCCACTCAAGTATCTATTTTACAGTAGTCTGCAAGAGAAACCAGTATCCATGAGACAGTCAAGCATCATAAGGTTATTTCCCCTTTTACCCATTCAGGCTGTGCTCTATCCCTGTATCACAGAGCTCTGTTGTTCCCATTTAGCACATGCAGACCTAACCTAAGTGTCCCCCTATCTACCTTGTCCTTCCACTCCACTCCCCCTTCTTGTGTATTGCCCTCCCTTTGACTTTGTATGTTTGAGCCTGCCTTTTGAAATTTTCTGTTCAGCTCTTATTTCCTCATTTTGTTCCATTGGCTTTAGCATCTTTACACTGGAGAGCTAGTATAGGTCACCATTTCCTTAGCGTGGTGCTGGTTTGCCAGAAAACTTTTCTTTGTGTCTGTTTTACCTTCAGCTTTGTTATTATGCCTCCAAGAAGGTCTCGCTCCTTGCTCTTTTCTCTCCTCTAGCAGGAAACTGCTGTTATCCTCAGTACTGACTAGTGCTAAGGGGGGGTAGAATGTTCTCTGTTACCCGTTGTGCCCTCACTTTCAGGCTAGCAACTATGTCTGTGGGTCTTGAGAAAGTGTAATCCTACCTCTTCCCCTCTCCTGGGAGAGAGGATTTTTCTGTTCTCTTTTCCTGGCAGAGTGATAACTAAAAATAGTTATGCCACAAAGTGTGTTTTTTGTGTTCTGTGCAAGTTAGTTATTGTCCAAAGCCGTCTCCTTTAGCAGGTTGTTTAGAGATCAGTGGCACTGGAGATATATAGTATTGGCATCATATGGCAGTGTTATGCAATACAGTTACAAATGTTATCTATTGTATGCTGTCGAGTCAGTTCATCTCACAGTGGCCCTATATAAGGTTTCCGAGAGTGACTGGTGGGTTTGAACTGCGAATCTTGCAAGTAGCATCCCAGTGCTGTCCTACAGTGCCACACCAGGACTTCATATATCATCTAGTACATATATTTAGACTTCATTTTGACCAGGTAAGTGTTATTTCATGGAATATTGTTTAGCCTTGAGTTTCAGTGATGATAAAATTCTACCTTATAAATACTGTTTTTGTTGTTGTTGTTAAGTGCTGTTGAGTCATTTCTGACTCATAGTGACCCTGTATAGGATTTCCAAGGAGCAGCTGGTGTGTTTGAACTGCCAGCCTTGTGGTTCACAGTCCAGTGCTTATACTACAGCGCCACACCAGGAGTTCTTGTAAATATTAGATATTCGATGAAGAATTGTTAAGTGGATGAATGAATTTGTTTTTGCCCCTTTCCTGTGCTTATTTATTCTTCTTTATTTCTGGTTAATATTATACTTCTTTATTTCTAAGAGTTTAATAAAATGTCTTTAGAGTCTTGTAGTATTTCTGAACACTTAATTAGAAAATATCTTTACTTCTAATCACAGTGATACATGTAAGTTCTACAAAGGTTGAAGGAAGTTCTGTTATTGCACAAGATCCTTATCCCATTATTGGGGCTATTGAAGAAAACCTTTATCCTTTTGGCCTTGGTAAGGACTCTGGAGAAGAAAAAAAAAACTATTCTGCTTATATGAGCCAGTTATATGTTTGATGTATACATGGTGTAAAAGAGGAAAAAGGCAGAGAGAGTTAGCATCATTTCACTAAAGTTTCCTAGACCATTGTCTGAAAATGGATTAAAGGAAATCATTGTCAAATTCTTCACCACATGTCAACATTTTCTAAGGCTGGCTTTATCACTCTTCCTAGGTGATTTACTGTTCTTTTGGTGGAACATCCAAAGGGCTTCATTTCAATAACTTAATAGTTGGACTTGTTCTCCTTACAAGAGGCAAAGATGAAGAAAAAGCGAAATGTAAGTACGGTTATGTTTTTCAAAATTAAACTGCAGCTATGAGTTAAATTATTTACCATAAAGCTTGATGGTAGCCAAAGGATTTGAATAGATACTTCTACCGAGATGGTATATAGGTGGCCAATAAGCTCTTGAAAAAGTACACAACACAATCTTTAGACAAATGTAATTGGAACAACAGTGAACCAGTTCACATCCACTAGGATGGCTAAGTAAAAAGGTTAGTAACAAGTGTTGATAAGCATGTAGAGAAATTTGAACCCTCATACATTATTGGTGGGATTGTAAAATGGTGTGGTGTGGTGCCGTGGAGTTGGTTCCGATTCATAGCAACCCTGCATAGGGTTTTTGAGGCTATAAATCTTTATGGGAGCAGAAAGTGTCATCTTTCTCCCACAGAATGGCTGGTAGTTTCGAACTGCTGACCTTGAGGTTAGCAGCCCGTCTCATAACCACTATGCTACCAGAGCTCCTTGTAAAATGCTGTAGTCACATTGAAAAGCAATTTGGCTGTTCCTCAAAATGTTAAACATAGAATTACCTTATTCTATGACTCACCAATTCATTCCTAGGTATGGGCCTAAGAAAATGGAAAGCAAATGTTCACATAAAAGTTATATGCATAAGTGTTCATCGTTGTATTATTCATGTTAGGAAAATTGAAACAACCCACATGTTTATCAGCTAATGATTGACTAACTAAAATGTGATATAGCCCACAATGGAGCATTACTCAATGAAAAGGATTGAGGTATTGATACATGCTGTAACATGAATGTATGCTTAAAAAATGTTATGCTAAATGAGAGAAGCCAGTCATGAAAGGTTACCTATTATATGATTGCATTTATATGAAATGTCAAGAAAAGATAAATTTACAGAGACAAAGCAGATTAGTGATTGCCAGGGATGAGAGCTTTGGAAGAAATGGAGGAATGACTGCTGTTAGGTGTGGGATTTCTTTTGGGTTGATTGAAATAATCTAAAAATAGATACTAGTGATGGTCGTGCATAACTCAGTGACTATACTGGTACCTAACCCCATAGAATTGTGTACTTTCTATTTAAATTGCACAGAGTCTATAACATTTAGCTCCAAAAATGCCTACCTTTTTATTCTTGGCCTTCAGATGCTAGCTCTTCAGTCTCTTTTTCTTAACTGCTCACTGATTCCTATGAAGTCTCTCAGATCCTCTCTTCCTCTGAAACCAAAACTGCTTTTTTTTTTTAATAATCCTTAAAGAAGTTTTATTGAGGTTTAACTGACCTAAAATAAAATAAACAAGTTTAGTGTATGCTTCTTTGTTATGTTTGACACGGTAACTCTAAGTCATGAATACCTAGTGAGCAAATCTGTGCCAGCTTTTTTATATATTGGGATTTAACTGTGATTCTCCACCACTCATCTGTCCAAGTTTGTTGCACAGGCTCTGGGAATTGATGGAATACAAATTAAAGTCTTTCAACAAACTGACACAGCACTGGAAGCACTCGCTGTTCTGGGCCAAGAAATTTGGAGGACACAACTGGCCAACTGATTAGAAGAGATCCATATTTGTGCCCATTTGCAAGAGAGGTGACCAACAGAAAGCAGAAATCATCGGAATTCAATATCATTACTATCACATGCAAGATAATTCAAAAACGGCTGCAACAGCATGTTGACAGGGAACTGCCACAGGTTCAAGCCAGATTCAGAGGAGAACATGGAATGAGGGATATCATTGCTGACGTCAGGTGGATCTTGACTGCAAGCATAGAACAACAGAAAGATGTTTACGTGTGCTTTATTGACTATGCAAAGGCTTTTAACTGTGTGGAACTTGACAAACTATGGACAACATTGAGGAGAATGAGTATTCTAGAACACTTAATTGTGCTAATAAAGAACCTGTATATACACCAATAGGCAGTCATTCAAACAGAACAAGGGAACACTTAATGTTTTAAAATCAGGGAAAGTGTACACCAGGGCTATATTCCTTTACAATGCACATTCAGTCTGTTTGCTGAGCAATAATCCGAGAAGCTGGATTATATAAAGAAGAACATGGCATCAGGTTGGGAGTTAGACTTAATAACAATCTGTGGTATGTGCAAGTGACACCATTTTGCTTGCTGAAAGCAAAGAGGACTTGGAAATACTGATGAAGAGCAAAGACCACAGCCTTCAGTATGAGTGGCACCTCATTCTTTGTAAAGAAAACAAAAATCCTCACCATCAGATCAATAAATAACATGATAAATGGAGAAAAGATTGAAATGATCAAAGACTTCATTTTGCTTGGATCTACTATCAACTCCCATGGAAACAGCAGGCGAGAAATCAAATGATGTATTATTAGGTAGATCTGCTTGTCAAAACTTCTTTTAAGTGTTCAAGAGCAAAGATGTCAGTTTGAGGACTGAGATGTGCCTAACTGAAGCCATAGTTTTCAGTAGCTTCATAAGCATATGAAAGTTGGATAGTGAATAAGGAAGGCAGTAGAAGAATTGATGCATGTGAGTTGTGTTGGAGAAGAATATTAAAAGTACCATGGATTGTCAGAAGAACAAACAAATCTGTGTTGGAAAAAAAGTACAGCGAGAATGCTCCTTAGAAGGCAGGATGATATAAGAAACTTTGTCTCTTGTATGTCCAGCATATTATCAGGAGGGACCAGTCCTCAGAGGAAGATATCATGCTTGGTAAAGTAGAGGGTTATTGAAACACAGGAAGACGACCCCCAACGTGCTGTATTGGCACAGTGGCAGCAGCATTGGGCTCAAGCATAACTTGTGAGAATGGCGCAGGACCTGGCAATATTTTGTTATGTTGGGCATAAGGTCACTATGTCAGAACTGACTTGTTTTGCACCTCACAACACCAACAACTGTGATCCTTGTTTATCTGAATTAATATTTTTCCAGCAACACGTATGCATATACATTGGCCGTAGTGGTGGTGTTGTTGAGTGCTGTCCAGTTGGTTACGGCTCCTAGCGACCCTATGTAGGGTTTCCAAGGAGAAACTGCTAAGGTTCAAAACCGATCTTGCAGTCCAGTGAATTAACCCACAGCGCTATACCAGCACTCCATAAACTGGCTATGGTAGTGGTGATGGTGTGCTGTGGAGTCGGGTCCAACTCCTAGCCACCCTGCATAGGGTTTCCAAGGCTGTAAATCTTTATGGGAGCAGAAAGCCTTATTGTTCTTCCATGAAACAGATGGGACTTTCAAGCTGCTGACCATAAGGTCAGCAGATTGACTCATAACCACTATGCTACCAGAGCTATAGGCAGCTAGTAATTTAAAATAAAAATGTTTTGTAACAGATGCAAATGTATATATGGTTTTGAAATTTATTTGTTTTTTATTATTTCAAATATATATATAATATATACTTTTACTTATCTTTATTATTAGTTTACAGCATATCATATTTGTGCCAAATCTTAATTAAAAAAACACACAAAATATTAAGGTTGTTGTTGTTGTTATGTGCCATGGAGTTGATTCCGACTCATAGCTACTCTGCATAGGGTTTCCAAGGCTGTAAATCTTTACGGGAGCAGAAAGTCTCATCTTTGTCCCATGGAACAGCGGTAGTTTCGAACTGCTGACCATGAGATTAGCAGCCTGATTCGTAATCACTACACTACCAGAGCTCCTGAAAATATTTATAGTTCTGGGTACAACTAACTCTCTGTCACCCCCTTAACCTCATCCCTTTACTTCTCTTAACAGTTAATCATGCTTATGACCATCTGTTACTCCTCAAGGTTTTTACATATTTATGATGTGTTTATGTATCCTTAAACAGATCTTCAGCTGTTTTGCAGGTTTATGCTTTCTAAAAATGGTATAGTATTGTATGGCTGATTTTGCATTTTGTTTCACCCCTGACTATTTGTTTTCGATATTTATCCTTTTTGACACACACATCTGAATGTTATTTAAACTGCTGTGTAGTATTCTACTGTGTGTATTTCAATTTACCAATTTTCTTGTAAATAGACCTACATTTCCCCCCCTACTATTTGCTATTACAAACAATGCTCCAGTGCGTTTCCTTGCCTTCATAAGTGAGAGTTTCTCAAAGGTGAAATAGAGTTGCCTAGAACTGGAGTAATTTGATAATACATTTTCATTTTTACTAGATCTTGGTAAACTACTCTCAAAATCGTTTGCACTAATTTGTAGTCCAATTAACAGTGTAAAAAAGGTCCCATTTCTCTACATCATTGCAACTCTTGTTATAATCATAACTAAATTTTTTGCAAGTCAGATGTGTTTGGAATGAAATTAGTCAGTCATTAAAAGAACACGTATTGAATGACACCACTATTGTAAAAGATTCAGAAAAGGTTTTCTTAATAAAAGAAACCATCTATGATGGTTACGGGATGGGGTATGAGGAATTATTCACTGAATAGAGGGTAGATACATGTTAACATGGGTGATGGGTCAAGTAGTATACAACACAAGGGAGGTTGGCAGAGGAAAGATGAAGGTAGTGGGAGACACAGGGAGGAATTTAAGAGTTAAAGTGTATAGAGGTGATTATTGGTAACTGATGTTACATGGAGGGGATTAAAATCATTGTAATGAAGTGAAGTATGGGATTTGTTGAATGTGAATCTGATGATGTTCTCTGTAAGCCTTCAATCGATTCACAATGAAAAGTTTTTAAAAGTTGAATGTGTTTGAAAGAGGTATTACAGGACTGCTTTAGTTTGCATTGCTAGATCTTGAGGAATAAAATTACATTTGTAAAGTGCTTGGCACTAATTATCCTTCTTTAATTGTTACCTCCTTGTTCCCTTTCTATTTCTACTAGTGTATATTTAATCTATGGTAAAATTAATTTATTCTTTCTTTCTCCTAGACATTTTTAGTCTTTTTTCAAGTGAATCTGGGAGCTATGTTGTTCGGGAAGAAATGGAAAGAATGCTCCATGTGGTGGATGGTAAAGTCCCAGATACATTGAGGAAGTGTTTCTCAGAGGTATATTTTTAATTTGCATTTCTTTCCTTCTTGTTGACAAAGTATGACCTCTTAGTTGTCTAATCAGTTTAATTATGATGAATAGATGTTTATGTGTCATATATTTTTGACATGTTTCTCTCTAATATTTGCAGTTTCACCTATAGATCTGTTCTGCTCAAAGGCCCATGACTGTCATTACTGCTATATTTGTGAATCTGAAAATAACTCTCTGTATTTACATATAATGAAACACTCTCAAACTCTCAACCAGCAGATACACACCTGCTCTTAACTAGAGTATTCCCTAAAGTACTGTCATGTCAGTTGCCCAGATATTAACCTTCCACCTAGTTTCTGCATCCTTTGAGCCCTTTCAAGTTCTAGTCTTAAACAGCTTTTGGCTCTGGGGCACAAGGGGTTTGGGGGACTTAGAGGTTGTAATTAGAGGTCATGTTCAGCAATGTTACAAACTAAATTTTTTTCTCTGGGTTGGTCTAACAGTCTAACTTTTTTTTTTTTTTTGTATTAAATCATATAAAATGATGTATTTCCTTACTACATATCATTTCCTTTGTTATGTAACATATTACCATGAACTATGAACTAAGTGGCTTAAAGTAACATACATTTATTATCTCACAGTCTCTGTGGGTCAGGAGTTTGGGCAGAGTACATTTGAATCTCCTACTCAGGGTCTTACAAGGTTTTGGTCAAGGTGTACTCTAGGTGTTCAGTCTCATCTGAAGTTCAAGGTACTTTTCCAAGCTCACTGATCATTTGCAGAATTCAGTTTCTTGGGGTTATAGAACTTAAGTCCAATTTTCTTAATAGCCATCCACTGGGATCCACTCGTAGTTCCTAAAGGAAACCTCCTCATAACATGACAGCTGACTTGCTTCCTTGAAGTTAATTATAGTTCACAGAATCTTCAGTGGATACAAACAAAACATATTTATATGAGATTTCAACATGTAGATTTTGTGTAGATTAAGTTGTTAGAATATTTAAAGATAGAGTGGTGGAGAAGAGTGTCTAAGAATTTAAAGTAGTTTTAAAAAGGTTTTATGGGATGAGTCCGTTCTTACCTGAAAAAGTAAGTGTTATTAATGTCTATTTAGAGTGAGGAAAGGGCACCAGCATTCAAGGAATACTTTTCTTACTTGAGAGTTTTACTGAGGACAAAAATACACAACTAATTTGGCCCAGAACATGACCAGTTTCTTGATCCAGTAGTGTGGCTCATCTTTACAATGGGAAATGACCTATGTAATTGAAAGCTGACTATATTTAGAAATGATTTCTTTAAGGTGGGGGTAAGAAGAAATTTGAAGGATTACGTTTTTTTAAATATTTTTTAAATAGGTGCTAAGCTCGTATTAGTTCAGACAACAGTCTTTTTTTTTTTTGAAGACAACAGTTTTTTAATGGTAATGAACATCATTTTTTGTAATGTTCTTATAAGGTAAAGACAAATAACTCATCTGAACCATTTTTAAATTGACATTTTCTTTCTGGGCATAAAAACAATGCAGTAATAAAGGAAGTAATAAGTCAAATCATGTTCTGCCACACGCATTAACTTGTCATCTGAGATAGCCTACTTACAACTTCTAATCCTGGTGTGGCGCCGTAGGATAAGCATTGGACTGCTAATCTCAAGGTTGGTGGTTCAAACCCACCAGCTGCTCCTTGGAAACCCTATTCAGGGTTGCTATGAGTTGAAACCAACTCTACGACACTTAACAACAACAATTTAATCATTTAATTTTTATACAGACTTTTATTCTTTTGAATGGTAGCTGAAAGTTTTGTATCTTGATAGTTTTAATAACTGTTTTGATACTAGGATTTTTTTAAAAGTAGCCCACAGTGCATTTTTTGAGGTTTGATCTCTAACTGATCATTATAGTGTTCATAACTGTATTTATAGAATGTTGTTGTTGTTGTTAGGTACCAGCTCATAGTGGTAAGTGGAAAGGTCTGGAATGTGAAACACAAGTTTAGTGGTTCTAGTCCAGTAGCCACTCAGTGGTAGAAAGATGAGGCTTTCAGTTCCCACAAAGATGTACAGTCTTGGAAACCCAGTGCAGAGTTGCCATGAGATGGAACCGACTTAGCAGCACTTAACAGTAACAGCAACCACATCCGTTTTATGCAGTCAGACGTTCTGAAGGATAATTGTTAAGAACAGTTGGATTTCCAAGTATACACTATTTAATGCTATAAAATAGATAGCAAAATGGTAATTGTCAACTAATCAAAAAATTCAAATTGTTTAGATTCTTAAGTAAGGTTCCTTAAAATGTGAGTAAACTTGTCTCTTTTTTTTAATTTTAGGGTGAAAAGGTTAACTATGAAAAGTTTAGAAATTGGCTTCTTGTAAACAAAGATGCTTTTACCTTCTCTCGTTGGCTCCTGTCTGGAGGTGTATATGTTACCCTCACTGATGATAGCGATACTCCTACTTTCTACCAAACTCTGGCTGGAGTCACACACTGTAAGTAATGACATTTCCTTGGTTTCATTTTACTTTTCAAACAATTGCCTATTAATATGGGAATATGCATATAAAGGAGAGTGTCTTTTTCTAACAAAGTGTAATAAAATGAAATATTTTAACATGGAATATATAAAAATGCAAACCAGTTTACTGTCGAGTTGTTTCCAACTTGTGGCAGTTCTATCCATGTCAAAGCAAAACTGTGCTCCAAAGGGTTTTCAATGCTGATTTTTTTAGATGTGGGTCACCAGGCCTTTCTTCCTAGGTGCCTCTGAGTGACCTTAAACCTCCAAGCTTTAGGTTAGCAACTGAGCACATTAATTGTTTGCACCATCCAGGAACTCAAAGCAACCCTATATGACAGAGTAGAAATGCCCCATAAAGTTGCCTTATAATCTTTACAGAGCAGACAGTCTCATCAGGTGCCACATTGTTCTTCAGCCAAGTGGCTGGTGGGTTCGAAGAGCTTACTTTATGATTAGCAGCCGAGCATTTAACCATTGATTCACCAGGGTTCCTTATTTCAGTCATGGCGTTCCTTAACCAAATATATTAGTTTCCTATGACTTGTTGTAACAAGTTACCACAAACTTAGTGGCCTAATGCAACAGAATTTTTATTCCCTCACCATGTTGGAGTTTCTCAAAGTCTGAAGTCAAAGTGTCAGAAGGTCCATGCTCCCATCTGAGGGTACTAGGAAAGATCGTTTTTTTTGCCTTTTCCAACTTTTGGTGGTTCGGCATGCTTCTTCACTTGTGGCAGCAGAATATAACTTTACTATCTATCTTCATGCTCACTAACCTCTTTCTCTGCAGCTCTATTTTTTTCTTCCTCTTCTTATAAGAGCACCATTAATTAAGAGTCTTCCCTAAATTCAGAATGGTTTAATCTTAAAATCTGTAATTAATTCCTTTAGCAAAAAACCTTATTTCCAAGTAAGATCATGTTCGGAGGTATAAGGTCGCTATTTACCCCACTACACAAGGTAAAACAATTGGAAAAAATGAGGAGATAAAACAGTGGGATAAAAAATTTCAAGGGGCATCATGAGAAGACAAAGTCAAATATTATAATGAAATGTGCAAAGATCTAAAGTTAGAAAACCAAAAGGGAAGAACACGCTCAGCATTTTTCAAGCTGAAAGAATTTAAGGGAAAATTCCAGCCTTGACTTGGCAATATTGAAGGAATCTTTTGGCAAAATATTTAATGATGCAGGAAGCATCAAAAGAAGATAGAAGGAATACAGAGGTACTGTATCAAAAAAAAATTGTTGATGTTCAGCCATTTCAAGAGGTAGCATGTGATCAAGAGCCAATGATACTGAAGGAACAAGTCTAAGGAGGCCTGAAGGCACTGGCATAGAACAAGGCACCAGGAATTGATGGAATGCAAGTTAAAATCTTTCAACAAACTGATGTGGCACTGGAGTCACTAGCTAATCTGTGCCAAGAAATTTGGAATACCAAAGAGAGGTGACCAACAGAATGTGGAAATCACTGGACAGTATCGTTAATATCCCATGCAAGTAAAATTGTGCTAAAGCTAAATAAGAAATGACTGCAGCAGTTCATTGATAAGGATCTGCCAGAGGTTCAAGCTGGATTAAGATGAGGACGTGTAACAAGGGATATCATTGCTGATGTAAGAAGGATCTTGACTGAAATTAGAAAATACCAGAAAGATATTTACCTGTGTGTTATTGACTATGCAAAGGCTTTCAGTGGTGTGGATCATTACAAGCTATGGACAACATTGTAAAGAATGAGTATTCCAGAACACTAAACTGTGCTCATGAGGAACCTGTACATAGACCAAGAGGCAGTTGATTGAATAGAACAAGGGAACACTAAATGCTTTAAAATGAAGAAAGGTGTGTGACAGTGATTTATTCTTTCACTATACGTATTCAGTCTGTATGCTGAGCAGATAACTCAATCAGCTGAATTATATGAAGAAAAACATGGCATCAGATTTGGAAGAAGACTCATTCACAACCTGAAGTATGCAGATGATACAACCTTGCTTGCTGAAAGTGCACAGGACTTAAAATACTGATGAAGATCACAGACCACAGCCTTCATTCAGTATGGGCCGCACCTTAATGTAAAAAAGCAAAAATCCTCACCACTGGACCAATAAATAGCATCCATATGAGCTCTGGTAGCGTAGTGGTTACGAATCAGGCTGCGAACCTTAAGGCCAGCAGTTCGAAACTACCAGCCGTTCCGCGGGAGAAAGATGAGGCTTTCTGCTCCCATAAAGATTTACAGCCTCGGAAACCCTGTACAGGGTCGCTATGGGTCGGAACCGACTTGAAGGCACTTAACAACAACATATAAATGGAGAAATATTGATGTTGTCAAAGGCTTCATTTTACTCTGATCAGCCATCAACACTCATGGAAGCTGCAGTCAAGAAATCAAGCGATGTACTGCGTTAGGCACATCTGCTGCACAGGACCTCTTTAAAGTGCTCAAGAACAAAGATGTCAGTTTGAGAACTAAGATGTGCCTGACCCAAGCCATGGTATTTTCCATAACCTCAAATGCATATGAAAGTTAGACAATGAATAAGGAAGACCGTAGAAGAATTGATGCATTTGAGTTATGTTGTTGGAGGAGAATATTGAAAGTACCATAGACTGCCAGAAGAACAAACAAATCTGTATTGGAATAAGTACAACCAGAATGTTCCTTAGAAGCCAGGATGGCCAGACTTCATCTCTCATACTTCAGACATATTGTCACATGGGACTAGTCCTTGGAGGAGAACATCATGCATGGTAAAGTGGAGGGTAAGCAAAAGAGTGGAAGACCCTTAACAAGATGGATTGGCACAGTGGCAGCAGCAATAGGATCAAGCTTAGCAATGATTGTGAGGTTGACACAGGACTGGGCAGTGTTTTGTTCTGTTTTGCATAAGATCACTATGAGTCAGTACTGACTCAGTGGCACCTAACAACAACAAACAATGTGTTAACTTCTAGTGTTCGTCTTTTATGTGGCCGCCAAACACTGCGTATACTCTTTTACTTGTTTTACTTCCTAACACTGGGATGTTTTTCCCATGCTGTTACCTATCAAATCCTAGTCATCCTTGAAAAGTTAATTACATGTCAACTTTTTTTTTTTTTAAGAAATCTTTTCTTGCTCTTCTCTCAGAAATCACTTATCCTTCTTCTGTACTCTCCTAACACCTTATTTGTACCCTTCTTGAATGAAATTACCACTTTCCTCCTCATATTTAATTGAAGTATTCCATTTATTTGTACAGCATACTATCTCTCCCAAATCATGAGATCCTTGCAGGTAGAAAGTCTGTATTATTTGTCTTTCTATGTCGTTGTTGTTCAATGCTGTCAAGTCAGTTCCAAGGGTTTCCAAGCTGATGAGTTTGAACTGCCAACCTTCCAGTTAACAGTGGAATGCTTATCCCGTAGCACCATACCTGGGCTTTCTATACCACGCCTGAAATAAATATTTGTAGACTCTGGGTATCAAATGCTATTTATAGTTGTTTTTTTGTATGACTTGACTATGAACTACACACTCTTTCTCCTTTCCCCCACTCCCATTTTTATTCCATTGCTACCAGAAGTTCTGTTAAATTCTAGCATGAGTAGGTAGTGAATTTGATTCTTTTACTATTCAGTGCCCTTGTCTTTATTTTAGATAAGAAAGCTTTTCCTTTTGTTCTTTTATATAACTAATACAGGAAACCACTTTATACTCACTAGAAGATCTACCTAACTTAAATTTATATTTAAATGATTAATTACATAGATATTCTGAAATTTTGTTTCATTTGTGATTGTGTGGTGAACTGTTTTTTTGCTAATGCAGATGACTTTCTTACTTTGCAAATGTTACCTATTGCCACTTTGGAAAGAACTATATTGAAGATAATAGACTTATTTAAATTTAATCAGTCAAATAATTTTCAAAATGTTAAAAATATTAACCTATTACCTGACTACATTTTGGAATTGAAAATGATCTTTTTTGTTTTCTATCAATTGGGAAGTTTAGGAAATTTTAATTATTGTTGTTAAGCGTCATTGAGTTGGTCTGACTCTTAGTCACCCTGTGTAAAATTTCTGAGGCTTTATATCTCTGCAGGAGCAGAAAGACATCTTTCTCCCATAAAGTGGCTGGTGGACTTGAACTGCTAGCCTTGTGGTTTGCAGTTCAGTGCTTGACCTACAAAGCCACTGTGCTCCCTTGGATTTTAATAGAATCTAAAAATTAAAATGCCTTTATCTTAAATTATAATGAACAAATATTAATGCCAGTGCATTGTTTCACTTACAGCAATGACCTTCTAATTTCTAAACTGAGTATTCTCTTAGATTCATTGTACCTGCTAACCTCGGTGCTGCCTTTTAGCACTATTGACCATTCATTCCGTTTTCTTGAAGCTCTTTTTAGCTTTTGCAACCCTGTTTCTTTGAGGTGTACCTTTCTTTGTACTTTTTAAAGTTTAAGTTACGTCTCAGGATTTGTTCTTTAGCTCTGTTGTTTTCCTAGATGATGTCCCTCTTTGTTGCATCACAATAATTTTATTGCTTGCCTTATCTTTTATTTCTACCAGGTCATACCTACATGATATCTCTCAAACTACAAAATTATTTTAACAAATGCCTCCTGGATATATATTCTAACACTAAGTTTTTCTCTGTTTTAATACCCTTAAATACTTTTTTTTTTTAAGGCAAATATGTCTTCCTCCTCTTCTTTTAGTTGAGTATTTATCAATCCTTATACCTAGATCCTATGAATCTTAACTCAGCCATGTTTCTTGTATCTTTCGTTTCTGTAGCCACCATTGCAATCTTTCTGTGTTTGTCGTAAAGATAGGAAAGAATAAAGAGCAGTGTTAATTTTTTAAGTATATATTGGCTTTTCAGTCTGCAGAACAGTTTAGATTCTTTGTTGTTGTTTTTAAGTGCCACTAACTCTATTCCAACTCATAGCAACCGTATACAAGATTTCCTTG